GGTGTTTACACAGTTCCATGTTGAAATACAGATCTTCTAATCCGATAATGCGAAGGAATACTTCCATGGGGAACTAAATGAGTTCTTCGCCTCCCATGGGTCTATTCATAGAAGCTCATGCGCCAGAACACCATAGCAAAATGGGGTTGCAGAAAGAAAAAACAGACACCTCCTTGAGATAGCCCACGGGACGATGTTCCACATGAATGTCCCAAAGAGGTTTTGGGTGGATGCTATACTTACAGCTGCGTATGTCATCAACCGCATGCCCTCCAGAGTATTAAATTACATGGCCCCTCATCAGTTACTGTACTCTTAGTCTCCTTTATTTTCCATCCCCATGAGAGTCTTTGGTTGTCGGGCCTTTGTCCACGATTTGTCTCCATCCAAAGGTAAGTTAGACCCTCAGTCCATTCCTTGTGTCTTCCTGGGGTACCCATCCTCTCAAAAGGGGTATCAGTGTTTTGATCCAGTCAGTCGTAAATATTTTGTGTCTATGGATGTGTCTTTCTTTGAGTCTGAGCCATTCTTCCCTCCTCCTCAGGGGAGAGCCGTAGTGTGGAAGAGGAGAAGCAGGTTCATGTGTCCCTTCCTTCTATTCCGGACCTCACTCCCTTCCGTGTCTTCCAGCGTACTCGTCGGAGAGATCAGCAGTGTGGTAGAAATGTGGAGCAGTCAAACACTGAGCAACTGACATCATCAGAATCCCAGAAGGTAAGTCCAACCCCTAACCCTTCTCCCATTGTGGACGACCTAGACATCCCTATTGCTCAACGAAAGGGAGTCAGGTCGTGCACTACCAAACACCCCATTACCCATTGTGTTTCCTATGACCACATCTCTCCCTTGTACCGAGCCTTCCTATCGGCAGTTGACTGCATCCCTGTTCCCAAGAATGCTGCAAAAGCCTTAAAATTCCTTGAGTGGATAGGTGCCATGAAGGAGGAGATTGATGCCCTCCACAAAAATCAGACTTGGGAATTGGTGGATCCTCCAGAGGGGAAAGAACCCGTGGGGTGCARATGGGTGTTCACAGTTAAGCACAAGGCAGATGGAACAGTTGAAAGGTACAAAGCAAGACTAGTAGCCAAAGGGTACACACAGGTATACGGAGTTGACTATGATGAGACTTTTGCCCCGGTGGCTAATTTTGATTGGGAATTGCATCAACTGGACATCAAGAATGCCTTCCTGAATGGTGACTTGGAAGAAGAGGTATACATGGTTCAACCTCCTGGATTCTCCGCCAAGGGAAGTGAAAACAAGGTGTGCAAGCTACAGAAGTCTCTCTATGGCTTAAAACAGTCTCCCAGAGCCTAGTTCAGTAAGTTTCACATGGCAGTTCAAGAGATGGGGYTCCAACAGTGCCAGTCTGATCATACACTTTTTGTGAAGAGATGTCAGGAGCAGGTTGCCGTATTGATAGTGTATGTAGACGATATCATCATTACAGGGAGTTGGAGTTCAGAGATACAGAAATTGAAACAATTCCTTGCTTCCAAATTTGAAGTGAAAGATCTAGGACTCCTAAGGTATTTCCTTGGGATCGAAGTTGCCCGTTCAAAAAGGGGTATCTTTGTCTCTCAAAGGAAATACACCCTTGATCTATTACGAGATACAGGTAAGTTAGGTGCAAGGCCAGCAGACACTCCTATGGATGCGGACCACAAGCTAGGTGACTGTATTGGTGAACCTCTGAAAGATGTAAAACAGTACCAAAGGTTAGTGGGAAAGCTGATTTATCTATCCATGACCCATCCAGATATTGCCTATTCAGTTGGAGTTCTGAGCCAGTTTATGCACTCTCCTAAGAAGCCACACATGGAGGCAGCAGAGAGAGTCCTTAGATACCTGAAAAAACATCCAGGAACAGGCCTACTATTCAGTAAACACAATCACCTGAAGGTGGAAGTCTTTACAGATGCTGATTGGGCAGGAATAGTGGATGATAGAAAGTCCACTAGTGGGTATTGCACTTTTGTGGGAGGAAATCTGGTGACCTGGAAGAGCAAGAAGCAAAGTGTGGTAGCAAGATCAAGTGTTGAAGCTGAGTATAGAGCAATGGCTCATGGGGTGGCTGAAGTCCTTTGGCTAAAGAACCTCCTAGGTGAGCTTGGGGTTGCCATTCATAATCCTATGTCTCTTTACTGTGACAACAAGGCTGCAATAACATCGCCAGCAACCCGGTCCTACATGAGAGGACTAAGCATATTGAGGTGGATAAGCACTTCATAAGAGAGAAACTGGAAAAAAGGGAAATTTGTATCCCTTATGTCAACACCAAGGAACAACTTGCTGATGTCCTCACAAAAGGACTTCCGTGTTCGCAGCACAATGAGCTACGTGACAAGCTGGGCATGATAGACATCTTCAGCCCAACTTGAGGAGGAGTGTTATAAGGCTTGAGTGTTCCTTGTAATTGATGTTAGTGGGACAGTTTCAGTTTACTTTCTTCCCTTCTTTTCTTATTGTTCTTATTCTAGGATATGCCGCCAGGGGCATACTTGTATTTTTGCCTCTTTATAAAGTTTAATATAAATAGAAAACTAGCGGCTACCAGTACTGAGTTTTTGCCTCTCCTTTCTATCATCCGTACCTCTATTTCTCTCTCTCTCTCTCTCTCAATCATCACAAGGAACCACAACCACATATTTTCAAACCTGAAGGGAGAGGGCCCACTACCACCAATATCAGACTTACCAATCATTATTGGCCAATGATCAGAAGTAACTCTGGGTAGAGCCCTTGACACCAAATCTCCCCAATGCTCCTCCCAGTCTGTGGTGAACAAGAATCTATCTAATTTGGGGCAAATAGGTTCAGCTTGGAGATTAGACCAAGTGAAGCTGTTATGAGAAAGGTTCAATTCCTTTAACTCAAAAGCATTAATGAACTCATTGAACTTCCTCACGCTGGTAGTGCTCCTTTGTCTCACCTTATTGCTCTCTTCAATGAACCTTATCACATTGAAATCCCCTACCACACACCATGGCCCCTCCCACAGACCTCTAATATCTCCCAGTTCCTCCCAAAGCTCCTTAGTTTGTAATCATTGGGACCATAAATATTGGTAAGGACCCACTCAAATCCATCTGATACCTGCTTAAATTTGACAGAAATTGAGAACCTTCCCACTAATTCTTCCACTCCCTCCACTGCTTCATCCTTCCACAAAGTAATTAACCCTCCAGATGAGCCCCAGGAGGGGCTCATAACCCACCTCAGATTATATATTGGGTATTTTGACACTACCAAATCAACAAATATCTAGGTAGGTTCTATTTTTCAGATTATAATTTCTTTTTTTTATTGGTATGCCAATAACTTTACTGGATAGTGAAAAACAAATGGCATGTAAATAGTGATGTGCCAAGCACCCCTGTAATTGGCCTGGCCCTGCTAGCCACCTATCTTTTCTTCTACAATTTCCCTTTAGGGAAACACCACCTAATACAATTGATTTCTATTTTTCATCATACAATCAAGTGATCAATTTCATTCATTCTTCTTGAGTTTATTGTGTAGTGTATAAAGCAAGCAATAAGAAGAAAGCAATAGCACATTCACTACAACAAATGAAATTTACATGTATTAGTGGAGAAAATATATTAGTTATTGTTATCCACACGTTCTCACCAGTGGATTTTTTCGGCTGATCAGTGTACAAACCAGCGGCTGTCCAGTACTTAGTAAAGTTCTTCTTCACCCGTTTCATAAGGTCCAAAATATAATCACCTTTATTGTTATATTTATGACAGTTGCCCCAGATAAATTGTACATCCTTAAATACATCCTCTGAATTCTTGTACTTAATGCCTTGTTCAAGATTACTGCATATTGTGCCAAAATCCATGGGAGTGTCGATGATATCAAAATAATCCTGTTTCAAAGAAAAAAGAAAAGGAAAGTGAAAAATTACGTATGAGTATCACCAAAACTTTAGAATAAAATATCCAGTGCAACATATGTGAACTATAGTCTCATTGCTCAAAATCAATGAACATAATTCCTTACCTAATGCATCACTTCTGTATAAACTTGGCAAACAAAATGGAATTGTAGCATTTACATGAAGACTAGAACTACATAGTGAGTGCAAGAGAACGGAAAATTTTACCATTTTCTGTCTTGTTTTCTTACTGGATGGTAGGTGCACACTTTCTTGTACAAATTGAGTCAAAAGCTAATAAAAAAAAGAATAAAAGCAAAGAAAGAGGTCTATAAGTCTTCAAATGGATAAGGTCAGTCTATGTTTACTAGAAGTCTAGAATGATAGTTGGAATCAACCCATAACTAATCAAGATCACAAGTTAACTTGCAAACTTCACCCATCTTGTCTCCAACAGTAAAATTCTTATTTCAAGTAGAAGAGAGTGGGTTGACATCATGAACACGGTAGAAATCCACCTGCAATATAAAATAGCAACAAAAGAAGAAGGACGAGGCATAGAAGAGAGAGTGTGGGAACTGAGACTAGGATGGTTGTGTGAGCCTGTTCTCTACTTTATTAGTTATCAGATCCTTAGAGACAAAGACATAAATACCCCACTTCAACATACAGCATGTGTATGACTGATAATGATTGAGATACTTTGAACTCCCCCCACCCTCAAGCTGGAATGTAGATGTCACACATGCCTAGATTGCTAGAACACTGTTCAACTAAATCTTAGATACTGCCTTAGTGAATACATCAGCGAATTGCTCATCACTCTTTACAAATGCTAAACACACCTCCTTTGAGGCTACCTTCGAATGAAAATAGTGTAAATCCATTTCAATATGATCCATGCCATCATGTTGTGCAAGATTGTGGCAATACTAATTGCTACCTTAGTATCATTATCACAATATAAATCCATTAAGCCTCCAACAAGACACACACACACACACATACACACACACATATATATAGAGAGAGAGAGAGAAGAGTAGAAAGAAAATTTTCATTAAAATATAAGCTTAGTACAAAAGGAAAAAAATAATCTTGAGTGTGTATTTAGGTAAGGAAAAAAATAGTTCACATATGTACTAAGCTTAGTACAAAATAGTTCCTTACCTAAAAGGAAAAAATTACACACTCCAAATCTCTCCCTGAAAAATAATCTTCTTCCTAAAACTCTGGAACCCCAAACTCCCGAATCGATGCACAAAGCTCTCTGCTAGCTCGTCCACACCTTAATCTTCTCCTTCAAACACTTCTTCTTGCCCATCTCCTTCCCTATTCCATGCCTCTCCTCCTTCCCCTACTGGGCCCTTCTTTAGACTCTCCTCCCTCTTGCTTCTTTCAAATGCTCCAAAAGCCTGTCTAGCAAATTCTTCGTCATCACAAAAGAACAGACCTAAACTCATGCCAATTCTGACATCTCTTATAACTAAATCCCCGATACCATCTGAATTTGCAAATCTCCTCCTTTGACGACCCAAATACTCTCCCAGCCTCCCAACAATCACTTCAAATCTTGAAAAGTCCTCACAGCTTCTTACCACACCATTATCTCCTACCTTGCCCACAACTTACTTCCAGGTTTCCATCTTCAACCCTCTCATCTATCTCCCCATCTCCCTTTTTAGCACTCCCAACCCCCTTACATCTTCCACCACTTTTCCTCCCAAGTCCAGATATAGATGACTTGTTAACTACAAAATCTGTCCAGTTTAAATCCATGTATGCTTCAATTTTCATGTGGACATTATTCTTGAATAGAAATCCTTTCCCTGGGTCCTCTTTCAAGTAACATAGTATTAACGATAATAAAAGAAACAAATAGAGAGAAAGAAGAGAAGAGACGAGAAGAGGAAGAAAAGATTAAGGGCCAAAACAAGTGTAGGGCAGAAACAAATTCTGGGAAGCCAAAAAGCTTTGGGGCAGTTGGAAGGTCAAACCTGGAGAAAGCAAGAAGAGGTTATGACAAATGGCAGATCCTTTGCGCAGGTGGTGTCAGGGGAAAAGACAAAAAGCTTCTAGTGGCGAAAGGGAGAAGGCTGAACCAGCAATTTCAGACAGGGAAGGTTGCTGGTTCGACCATTAAAACAGGCGGGCATGACTCTATAAGTGGTCACGTTGGACGAAAAGAAGGGCCCAATCGAGTGGATCCCTTTTATGGTGGGCCGGAGAAGGCTTCTCAAGTAAAGGAGTTGGGCTCCTATAGTCTTGAGCCCAAGGCCCATTATAAGAAAGATGGGCCGAGGGACACGTTAAGTAAGCACGTGACTGGGAGGAGGGATGAGCTGATAGACGAGATAAATCATCTATCTTCTTCAACCCCGAACCCTTCCTCCCGACCGAACAGATCAGGCGCAAAAAAGTCTCAAGACTCGCAGTCTCGAGGCTCTCTATAGTGGGTCCCTTCCAACCTGGCGAACCGTCTCTCACCAGATAGGCGCAACCCGAGATACCTGAAGCCTAGTGATGAGAACAGAACAGGGCTTGAAGATTGCTTGAGTGAACAAAACAGCAATGACGATTCTGATAGAGACAAAACGCTAAGTCTGGGAAGTTTGTTTCCAAAAAGCAACAATGATCTTCTTGAAACAGAAAGTTTGTATACAGAGTTGTTGTTTTTAGAGGAAGAGACTGAAGAGGCAGGTGACGGGAAGACTAGGAATGGTGAAGAAATTGGTTCTAAAACTGTGAAAACTCCTCCTCCCTTCGTCGAGGGAGCTGACCCTGAGTCTAATGAATTATTGGATGTTGGTGGAGAGGGACAAGAATCGGCCGTGAGGATGGATGCGGGTATTCCAGTGGAAACACAGAGAAAGGTTTTCCAAGTGGGTAGGTCGTCAGGAAGTGATTCTTTCACCATGTCTACTTCACAACCTTGTCCAAAAAGGGGAAAGGCTTTAAAACCATTTGCCGC